CTCCGCCTCCTGGGTTCAAGCAATTCTCCTGCCGCAGCCTCCTGAGTAGCTGGGATTACAGGCACGCACCACCATGCCCAGCTAATGTTTTGTAGTTTTAGTAGAGACGGGGTTTCACCATGTTGACCAGGATGGTCTCGATCTCTTGACCTCGTGATCCACCCGCCTCGGCCTCCCAAAGTGCTGGGATTACAGGCGTGAGCCACTGCGCCCGGCCTCAAATGTGGTATCTTTACCGGAAAAAAAAAAAAAAAAAAAAAAAAAAAAAAAACCTCAGCCTCTGGTGCTTGCTATATAACAATTAAACTGGCATCCTTTTTAAAAGGAGGATCGAAAGCAGTTTAACTTGATATGTTAGGATTATTCCTTGAATATAGAAACATTATATATTGCTGTCATATGACGTGACCGTGCATCCAATAGGAAGAGTTCTTTCATGTCCCTTGCCTTGATAACTTTAGGCTTGGGCATGTGACATGCTCTAAGGTAAAATACGAGAAGATGTGATAATTTGCCACAACTGAGTAGAAGCTTACAACTGCTGACAATCTCTCTCTCTCCTACATTGTCATACCCCTGACAGAGGCTGCTCCTCGAGCCTCCATCCCAGAATGAGAAGACACAAAGAACAGAATCCCAGTCTAGAGCCAAGCAAATCCAAACCTGTTACCCAGCAGACACTTGGTAATTAAATTAAAATTTTTAGAACTATTTTTAAGTGCATAGGAAAAAGTCTTACCAAGCGCAGTGGCTGACACCTAGAATCCTAGTGCTTTGGGATGCCAAGACAGGAAGATCACTTGAGTCCAGGGGTTTGAGACCAGAATAGGCAAGAGTGAGACCCCATTTCTACAAAAATTTGTTTTAAAGAAGCCAGATGTGGTTGTGCACAACTGTAGTCCTAGCTACTGTAGAAAATGAGGTAGGAGGAATCACTTGAGCTCAAGAGTTCAAGGTTATAGCAAGCAATGACCATGACACTACACTCAAACCTGGGTGACAGAGCGAGACCATGTCTCCTTAAAACAAAAAACAAAAATAAAACCTCATAAGCTCACACTAAATTGTTAAAGGTAATGAATAAATTGATGTATACGTCAATAATTTTCACTTACTTTGTTCATTTTGTATTATTATGTTTTAAGGAACATGTACTACTTTTGTGATTTCTTCATTTTCTTTTATTAAAAATTACCTATGCTAAGCTGGGCAAAGTGGCTCACACTTATAATCCCAGCACTTTGGAGGTCAAGGCAGGCAGATCACTTCAGGTCTGGAGTTCAAGACCAGCCTGGCCAATACGGTGAACCCCCATCTCTACTAAAAATACAAAAATCAGCCAGATGTGGTGGCAGGCACCTAAAATCCCAGCTGCTTGGGAGGCTGAGACAGGAGAATTGCTTGAACCTGGGTGAGCCAGGGTTGCAGTGAGCCATTGCACTCCAGCCTCGGTGTCACAGTGAGACTCTGTCTCAAAAAAAACAAACAAAAAGAAAACCGATGCTGGTCTTCACTTAACATAGCTGATATTAAGTTACAATAAATTTTAAGACAAAGAACATCAATAATAAAAACATATCTGATTTAGATAGAGAACTTTCTACATATGTGATTACATTTATAAATCTCATTGAAAATATAAGCTTAATGGAAGCATTCCCTTTAAAAATTGGCACAGGTTGCCCTCTTTCACCACTTATATTCAACATAGTATTGGAAGTACTGGCCAGGGCAGTCAGGCAAGAGAAAGAAAAAAAGAGTATTCAATAGGAAGAGAGGAAGTCAAATTGTTTGTTTACAGATAACATGATTCTATATTTAGAAAACTCCATTGTCTCATCCCAAAAACTCCTGACACTAATAAGACACTTCAGCAAAGTCCCAGGATACAAAATCAATGTGCAAAAATCAAAAGGCTTCCTATACACCAATAATAGAAAAAGAGAGAACCAAATCATGAGTGAACTCCCATTCACAACTGCTACAAAAAGAATAAAACCATTAGGAATACAACTTACAAGGGACGTGAAGGACCTCTTCAAAGAGAATAACAAACCACTGCTCAAGGAAATAAAAGAGGACATAAACAAATGGGAAAACACTCCATACTCATGGATAGGAAGAATCAATCATGAAAATGGCCATACTGCCCAAGGTAATTTATAGATTCAAGGCTATTACCATCAAGCTACCACTGACTTTCTTCACAGAATTAGAAAAAAACTACTTTAAATTTCATATGGAACCAAAAAAGAGCCCAGATAGCTAAGACAATCCTAAGTGAAAAGAACAAAGCTGGAGGCATTATGCTATCTGACTTCAGACTACACTAGAAGGCCATGGTAACCAAAACAGCATGGTACTAGCACCAAAACATACATATAGACCAATGGAACAGAACAGAGACCTCAGAAATAACACCATACATCTACAGCCGTCTCATCTTCAACAAACCTGATAAAAACAAGCAAGGGGGGAGGATTCCCTGTTTAATATGTGGTGCTGGGAAAACTGGCTAGCCACATGCAGAAAACTGAAACTGGACCCCTTCCTTATACCTTATACAAAAATTAACTCAAGATGGATTAAAGACTTAAATGTAAACCCTAAAACCATAACAACTCTAGAAAAAAACCTAGGCAATCCCATTCAGGACATAGGCATGAGCAAAGACTTCATGACTAGACCACGAAAAAGCAACTGCAACAAACGCCAAAATCAACAAATGGGATCTAATTAAACTAAAGAGCTTCTGCACAGCAAAAGAAACTCATCAGTCAACAGGCAACCTACAGAATGGGAGAAAATTTTTGCAATCTATCCATCTGACAGAGGTCTAATATCTGGAATCTACAAGGAATTTAAACAAATTTATAAGAAAAAAACAACCCCATCAAAAAGTAGGCAAAGGCTATGAGCAGACACTTCTCAAAACACTTGTCAAAAGAAGACATTTATGTGGCCAAGAAACATATGAAAAAAAGCTCGTCATCACTGGTCATTAGAGAAATGTAAATCAAAACCATAATGAGATACCATCTCACACCCGTTAGAATGGCAATCACTAAAAAGTCAGGAAACAATAGATGCTGGCGAGGCTGTGGAGAAATAGGAAAACTTTTACACTGTTGGTGGGAGTGTAAATTAGTCTGGCAATTCCTCAAGGATTTAGAACCAGAAATAGCATTTGACCCAGCAATCTTATTACTGGGTATACACCCAAAGAATTATAAATCATTCTACTATAAAGGCACATCCACACACGTTTACTGCAGCACTACTCGTAAAAGCCAAAACTTGGAACCAACCCAATGCCCATGATAAGACTGGATAAAGAAAATGTGGCACATATATACCATGGAATACCATGGAATCATAAAAAATGAGTTCATGTCATTTGTAGGGACATGGATGAAGCTAGAAGCCATCATTCTCAGCAAACTAACACAGAAACAGAAAATGAAACATCACATGTTCACTCATAAGTGGCAGTCGAACAATGAGAACACATGGACACAGGGAAGGGAACATGACACACGAGGGCCTGTCGGGGGGTGGATACATGTTCAGCACATGTATCCCAGAACTTAAATTAAAAAAAAAAAAAAAGAAGAAGAAAATACAACCTTAAGATTAGGATAAAAGGTAGTACCAATTCTTAGCAACTTCAAAAAAATTTTAACTACATGAATAATAGCTTCATAATAAACTACTCCCATAACAACACTATTAATGCAAATTTGCTTAGTGGATTAAACAAACATCTGCATCACATCTGCCATCCTCTCAAACAACATCTACCTTCTCTAAAACCTCAATCTGATCTGAGCCATCCCAATTCTCAACTACCTAGCCACTCTACCTGAGATGAAAAAGGGCTGGGACTGAATGACTGCTGAAATATATTAAACCAGTCTAATTGCAGGGTAACTGAGGGGTTTTCTGCCTGAGGTAGTTTATCTTGGTTCACTTACCTACAAACACTACTGTAAACACTCTTCCCAATTATTTTATACACACTGAGACTGGCACCCCATGATATTGCATACACTGCATTCCCAGAAAAATAAACCTCAAGTAGAAAATATTCCTAAAATACCCATTTTTGTTTAAAAGGAAATTATTTATCTCTCCTGGTAAAAAGACGTAAAATGACAAAAATACAATAAACATTAAAATTAACAGTGTCAGGTTAAAAAATCATTATCCATGATTTAGTTATATTAAAATACATCAATGTTTTTAATTATTTTCAGTTAACATAATTACAATGGAACTGTAAGCAATTATTACAGTTCAACTCCATGTAGTATTAACTTTTCTTCTCTTCTGATTCTTGTACCAATTGCAACTTTTCTTTTAATTCCTTCTGATCTTTGGCCAACTGTTCAAATATTGGTTGATAAATATATACTCCTCCAGCAATTCCAAGGACAGTAGCAAAAACCAGTTGTGGAAGAGTCAATCTCTTAAACATTGTTGCAACAAATACAGCACAAGGAAAAGGTGGTTTTGGAAAAAGTCACACTCCAAGCCCAGGAAATCTCTTCAAATCTGTGTACAAAAATGGAAAGCAAAGCCATCACTTAATACAATGTTCTTTTAAAAGATTTTATGTCATTACTTTGCACTGCAGTGAACAATATTTTTATAACATATTACTGATTAAAACAAGAATTTCAATACATAAGGAGTACAGAAATGAATTAGGGAAGGGTATAAGACAAAGCTAAATCTTTTCTATTACAGAATGTTATCAATGGTTTTAAATGTATAATTTTTAAAATGGCAAAAGAAGGGGAAGAAAAGCCATACTCTATGGAAATGCCATACCATAAAACTAAGTTCTAGAAGAAAGAACAAAAAAAAATTAAAAGTGACTACCCTTTGTTTTGGGGTGTGTGTGTTTGTGTGTTGTGAGATGGGGGGTCTCCCTCTGTAGCCCATGCTGGAGTGCAGTGGAGCGATCTAGGCTCACTGCAACCTCCAACTCCCGGGTTCAAACAATTCGCCTCTCCTGCCTTAGCCTCCCGAATAGCTGGGATCACAGGCGCACACTAACACACGTGGCTAATTCTTTTTATTTTTAGTAGAGACGGGGGTTCACCATGTTGGCCCGGCTGGTCTCCTAACTCCTGATGTGATCTCCTGCCTCGGCCTCCCAAAGTGCTGGGATTAGAGGCGTAAGACACAACGCCCTGCCCATTGGTTTTACCAGTGGGCTGGACACTGTGGCTCACACCTGTAATCCCAGCACTTTGGGAGGCCAAGGTGGGCTGATAATGAGGTCAGGAGTTTGAGACCAGTTTGACCAACAAGGTGAAACCCCGTCTTTACAAAGAAATACAAAAATTAGCCCGGCATGGTAGCGAGCGCACTTGTAGTCCCAGGTGCTCTGGAGGCTGAGGTAGGAAAATAACTAGAACCTGGAGGCGGAGGTTGCAGTGAGCCGAGATCGAACCGTCTCAGAAAAAAAAAGAAAAAAAGCGAGGAGCCTAGTACTTTCCGAAAATTAGTATTATTTGCCAAATACCTTAGTCTCTGGAGAAACTCGATAGATGTTTTTAAGAAAAGCAAGGCCGGGCGCGGTGGCTCAAGCCTGTAATCCCAGCACTTTGGGAGGCCGAGGCGGGTGGATCACGAGGTCAAGAGATCGAGACCATCCTGGTCAACATGGTGAAACCCCGTCTCTACTAAAAATACAAAAAATTAGCTGGGCATGGTGGCACGTGCCTGTAGTCCCAGCTGCTTGGGAGGCTGAGGCAGGAGAATTGCCTGAACCCGGGAGGCGGAGGTTGTGGTGAGCCGAGATCGTGCCATTGCACTCCAGCCTGGGTAACAAGAGTAAAAACTCTGTCGCAAAAAAAAAAAAAAAAAAAAAA